AAGATTAAAATGATGTACTGATATTGCCAATACCTAACCTTACTTCAAAACTGTTTTAAAACAATTTTGCCATCATGGAAATTCCACTTCCATTGAACAGACATTGATTCTCATATTCGATTCGAAGTAATAGCTTCACAGTTTCCTCATAGTTAAGACCGTTAATAAAATCATCATAACACTCTGACTTCCTTGTCTTCAGATCAAAGAGGTATGATTCAAATATTGTTTTTCTAATTATATTGAAGTTTAGAGAACACCAATAGACATGCCTCTGGGGTAGCCGGGCGTGTTAAAACAAAGCCATATTACTGTGCAGAGGCATTGAAGGGATCGTTTGAACAGACGCTCTCAGAAGCATTTCCCGATAGAAAAACAAATGCGCAATACCAACTTAGGAAAAGGCACCGAGGTTGGTATTACTTCAAGCCGGCAGAAATAGTTTCAGTTTATATTTATTCATTATGGAAATTTGACATGTGTAATCAAACAAATAATTGTAATCTGTTTCATGTACAATTTAATTATGCAGTGGAAAAATGTGTGTTAAAAAACACACTTTATTCATTGCTGGATTGATCATCGACCGTTACGTTGCTCTTTCAATGCTAATCGCCCGAAGTCCTGCTCCGTTTGAACGTAATGCCCTTTACATTTCTGCTGGACATTTTTACTGCTGTGAAAAAAAATACGCATCGAGAAATTACCATGCACCACTTTAACGTGAGGTAAATGTTTTGCAGAGTTATTCTCTTAAAAACACTGCAACTGGAGGTGAGTCTGATGTCGAGATGCCAATTATTGGCTATATAAACGAATTATGATCCATGTTCACTACACATTGCATATGCATCTGGCTCTTTCTAGCGTGTAGTATTCTTCACAGTCGGCAGAATTGCGCAGTCGTATACATTTGAGTTCCTCTTTAGATTTTTCCGTTTCGATGTGTGATTCAAGATTACCTCATGCATAAATTTTGTGTTACCCTCATTGCTGGATCTAATAACAGTGCACTGTTTGGAATGCTTTTGAGGATATCGCAGATTTACGAACCAATAAAGTGTTCCATATCAACCGTACACTGAACGCCAAAAGAAACACGTTACTCTCCTTCCTTAATGGCGGAGGTACCTATCTTCAGCTGGCGTTGTGATGCGTGGACGTCCACTTCTTGGTCTGTCTACGGTGACCCCAGTCTGTCTGTAGCGCTGAATAAGTCTCATAACCGTGATACGGTGGCATCCGAGGGCGTTGGCAACTCCATCTGCACCATCCCAATGGCTCTTTCTCTCTCTTCAGCAGTTAATCGTAGCATATTTCCAGTACTTGTGTATCATATCATGCATTCTAGGGTCTCTTTACACCCTATAGATTCATTCTACACGTAAAATTGATGCAAATACTTCTTGAATATTGCAACGATTTTGCGATTGATATTGGAAAAATGTTACATTGCAAGCAAAAATGTTAACAAAGATAATTTTAGATGATCCTAAACACTTTTTCACAATATGAAAGACATGTTTTACTTGTTTTCACTAATGCAAATCAGCAGAAAATGTGTTTAAAAGACTGAAATCATAGGAATGATTCTTTTAGAATTTTACACACTCTACAACAGTTGTTTCTTATTTTACTATGGTGACTTTAAATGGTTTATCTTTGTCTCAATGCAGAATTGTATTTCAACCTTTCTTTTGGACATCTAAATCACTGTTATTTGTTTATTTCGGCATGGTTGAAAATAGGACTCTTTAACTATTCTGAAAAAGATGCATTTCACCTAAATATGAATGCATTTGAGAATTTGTTTTCGTGATTTGAATAAAGCCGTGTTGTTAAGCTTTCTTGTAAACTAATACCTTCTCACATATCTTTGATTGTTTTTAAGTTATTCATAAAGGAAGGAGCGTAACGTTTCTTTTGGCGTTTGGTGTATTTTATAAATACACACAGCATGGAGAGGGAGCCATCATGGCGACTAGTTCACATTAAGGTGTAATTATAGTTGTGGAAATAGTCGATGTATTTGGATAGCAAATCTCATAAAGAACCGTAAATATATTGCAAGGGGGTTGCATGATACTTATAGTTTATACGACTCAGACACTTTGTTCGACTGACGCCAGAGCTGAAAGTTCTGATGGTAAATACTTTAGCTAGAGATTGTAGGCGATAAATAATCTATGAAAGTGACACATGATTATTATATATCACGACCCGCAGGCAGTAAGTCACGTGTCACGATGTTTAGCCAGTCGGTTGTATATTTAGTACCTCCATATCGTGTATTTACTACACCACGCCCTTAAAAGATACAGCATATAAATGATAACGCTTCTCCACTAAGCAGGTCGATTGCATTTAAGTTGTTTGAGCCATGACTGCGGGATATTAGCCTACTAATATTCACGTACATCGGCTGGGGTTTAATTTACCATTATTAATACGGCACAAGTAGACATATAACTACATTACTAGAAAGACGAATGACATGATTACCCTTCATTACGTCACGGCGACTGGGGCAACAATATAGCCTTTATTGCATAATGACGCATGAATTAAGGAAGGTCTACGAAACTGTATAAACACTCAGCTTTAAAAGCTTGAGAAGTGGAGATATTTCTCCTGCATATCTGTGTTATGAAAAGGTGGAATCATTTTAAATGCGCATCTTTCTACTCCAATGAAATGTGTGAGTGTTTTTCAATATTTGTGCCCGCAGCAAACCGTTGGTGTAATGTGCATTATCTGAGCAAACTCTCTTATATTATGTGTAGTACGAATGCAAGTTGAAACCACGGAATGAGACGAATATATGTGCAACATATATGCATGCCAGTTTCAAATTGATGTAAATCGATCATATTACAACAACCCTAGTAGAAATTTTAAGTCGTCTCACAGTTAACTGATAAGACTGTAATTACCATCGAAAGGTACAGTGGACGCATTAAAGGATCAATGTAATTAAACCTCAACGGTGCGCGGTATAAAGATCGACCTTGTAATCGTTTTACGGGAGCGTTTCTCATGAAACTACATTTTAATTAATATTTTCCATTTTGATATTCCAACAAAAGCGAATGAGGAATATTCCATAATAAACCATACTTTATCAATATCAGCGAACGAGTGTCACTTCATAATATTGATTAAGACGCTGTAACTTCCCAGTGTTAATTGAAACTTTGTTCCACGTTCCTGTTCACATCATTATCTGTTATGCTTCCATTGCGGTGGTGTTTATCAGGGTGTGCTATTTCCACTCGAACTACAACTAATTTGAATTCTGGTGAAAAAAGAAAGTTTACAAATGGAAATGTGCAATTCTGTGTTAGAATGGAAAATGCCCTGCAGAAGCCTACGTTTGAAATTCGGAGATGTAATGGTCATGAATAAGCATGATATTTTCTTTTATTGTCCAATAACTGTGTTATACAAAATCAGAGGCATTTTATATGAAGCTGAGGTATCATATTTAACATCAGTATCTAGGAATACTTTACTAAAATTCCTATTTAAATAACTGTATGTAATGTGCCGGACATAAAATAGATAGTAGTGTGTTCACAGGGTTAAAATGTCTTTAGATATTCTTGTAATGTAAGGAATATTTTATCTTCTTATCTCTAATCAATTGAAACACACTTGCTAAAACATTGAAATTGTGAGCATGTACACTCCTGTTCAAACAAACATTCTTCCTACTGTATTGTTACGTGTGGATGGTATGGTGTCGACCAAGCGGGAGCTTTGGACATCGCGCTATGTTGTGCAAGGTCAAGGCTGGTGTTACCAAGAATGTTCTCTACACTTTGGCTCTTCAATGTAAAAACTCTTCAGAAGGTCTACGAAGTTGTCATAACATAACTGATTGAAGACATGTCTGGGGTTGAACCCTGGCCTTCATTAACACGATCAATACTTTAAGCAATTGCTGGAAAATATTATTTCGGACTAACTCAAGCTAGAGACGAAACATAGATCACATTACAAGGCGCCAGTAACTCTCTGATCGATTGTGATGAAGATGATGATGATAATGATTAGAAGAAAGTCCACTTTGTGTGAAAGTGTCGATGAGGAATCAAAATTGAAAAGTCCTATATTCCAGGGACGGTGGGGTAGCCTAGTGGTTAAAGCGATTGCTCTTCACGCCGAAAACCCAGGTTCGATTCCCCACATAGGTACAATGTGTTAAGGCGATTTCTGGTGTCCCCCTCCTTGATATTGATGGGATATTGCTAAAAGCGGCGTAAAACTAAAGTCATTCACTCGCCTATAATCCAGTTATCTTTTCTAAGAGTTCATTTTGGACAAAAACTTTATAATATGGGATTCTGTAACTGTAATAATGTAGGCTATAACACGAATCTTTAAGTCATAACTAAACAAGCATGGAAAGATTTCGTTTGTTAAGTTCATTACTCCGTTCCATAAGCGCTCCCTCAACATCGCGGTAAGCAAATTTCGCACATTTCGTTCATCACATTACTTGTCAATGTCACGGTAACTTCCATTAACATCCATTGTGAAGAACATAGAGATTTTTCTGGGTTACATCTTCTTTTTATTCTCGAGTACAACGTTTCAGGGCTTGTTCTGGCCCCATGATGGGGCCAGAACAAGCCCTGAAACGTTGTACTCGAGAATAAAAAGAAGATGTAACCCAGAAAAATCTGATGATGGGGCCAGAACAAGCCCTGAAACGGTGTACTCGAGAATAAAAAGAAGATGTAACCCAGAAAAATCTCTTCATCAAATATCATCTTCTAAAATGCCAATCAAGCATCTAATCCATTGTGAAGGTCATACACGTATGTTGATACTCCTTACAAATTATTTCTAAAGGCATGAATGACAAATGATGATATATAAGGTTAGGTTAATCAAGGCCTAATTACACATTCAACTCTAATCAAAATTAACAATTACTTACTGTTCCAAAATTAATAATGAAATACAATAACAAGTTGTCTTCGTCTTCGAAATAATTGAAGTTGAAACAATACTTTACGATGCCCAAATAACAGAGCTGCATTATTTATTCAGCACTTCGAAGGATCAGCTGTAGGTAGCTGCTTGCTCATCTGGAGATGAATGAGACCTGGAAAAAAAAGGCACACCGTCTGTGTGTAAAAGTTCAATTCTTATAAAGTATACTGATGAATAACCATTGGTCCCCTTTGACGGAACTGTTAACATTTTCTTATCACGACCTTTTGTTTTGTTTCTAGCAAGTACAGTTTTGACTGGTACTTAATTTAGCAAGCATTCCGAAACTTGCTATGAAAGTTCAAATGCTGATGTTCAAAATTTAAATCTGTATAACTACATTTGTCCTCCTATGGCGGTGGAAAACAGTTGAAAATGCGCATCTCATAGTTCAAATAAGCGGCTCATATGGAATATTCTGAAAAATGATTCTGTCATCTCAGTATAACGGAACCTTGATGACAAGGAATATATTTGTCATTATACTTGGTAATTAAACACATTATAGCAATGTTTAATAGGAATCGTGTGACATGCGGTTCGTCTCTCGAATCTGGGATGGTGTATGGGAACATGGTATTGTTATGAATCCATACCCGCTAAGGCTGTCTGGAAGCCGGAGTTGTAGTCACATGCAACCTCGTTCTTGACGTAGTCCTTCCTGTCGTCAACGTACACGTCGGTGTTGTCAGGGCCGCCTACTAGGGCACCCTTCAGGAGGTGGGGGTTGGGACCAGGGTTGTCAAAGGCTTCCCACCCACAGGGTTTGGGGATATCAGGGCAGGAACTGCGAGATATGCGGTATTGTTACATCAGAAAAATGAATGTATCGGAAGGCATTCTGGGACCATGTCTCTTTGACTCGTAATAATCCAGAACGATTGTAAGAATGGGAGTCTTCACATATCTGGTATATAGTTAATGTATATTGAACACAACTTCGTAGCTTCAAGGCTAACACGGGCCACGCAGTCATACCAAGTGCAAGTGAATATCAGCAATATTCAAGCAACAATGGACATTGCAATTTATTCTTTCTTCGGAACGGAACCACGTCTTCGATATGACAGAGGAACGCTCAAAGCAATAGTTTACCAAAATGCCCTATACATACTGACAATTAAAACACACAAACGTAAACTACGTTGATATATGAACATAGAGATTTTTTCTGGGTTACATCTTCTTTTTATTCTCGAGTACAACGTTTCAGGGCTTGTTCTGGCCCCATCATCAGGTAAACTGAACAGTTCAGTTTACCTGATGATGGGGCAGAACAAGCCCTGAAACGTTGTACTCGAGAATAAAAAGAAGATGTAACCCAGAAAAAATCTCTATGTTCATCAAATATCATCTTCTAAAATGCCAATCAAGCATCTACGTTGATATATGTTATACACAGAACGCACAAACCACATGGTTATCATAATACTCTCTATTAAACCATAAAGTGAGTGAATGAGTGAGTGAGTTTAGTTTTACACCGCACTCCGCAATATTCCAGTTATGGCAGCGGTCTGTAAATAATCGAGTCTGGACCAGACAATCCAGTGATCAACAGCATGAGCATCGATCTGCACAACTGGGAACCGATGACATGTGTCAACCAAGCCAGCGAGTCTGACCACCCGATCCCGTTAGTCGCCTCTTACGTAAACCAAAAAGACAGCCAATGCTACGTACGCGCATAGCGCTTAAACTATGTTGTTATTCGAATGTGACAGTACATACTTTTACTTAAACTAATATTACGTACTTTATATGGAAATTCGAGGAAACGTACAATAAAACTCTCATAAGAAGGTTACAGTAATGTATACTTCTCAAAAGTGGTAAAGAGATTAAACTGTATTCAAATATGATAGAATCGTGTTTTCTATAACTTCTGTCGTGGAATATTTGCATTTCAAGAGAAACCTAGACTATCGAACATCCCAGTGCCACTGGTATTAGGTTTATCAAAGCAACACTTAGTCAGATTTATACCTGGTTCTATGGTGAGGCCTGACGGGATACTTGTTTCCGTAGCCGATGACGTAGCTCATGTGATACTTGTTGTCGCCAAGGATATAGTTGATCTGGTCTATAGCCCACTTCCTATACTTCTCCGTCTGGAGGCCATCCTCAGCCGCCATGAGGGCAATCATGGCCGTGTTGGCTGTAACAAGCATATTTCTAAATCCAAATAAATCTAAATCTACCATTCCCATACACATATAGATATCATGGCTATCAACTCCGAAACAACAAATCGAAATCACTGACAAGTCTACAATCATGCTAAAACAGTATAAGGTGGTAACATTATGTCAAAGCTCAAACTGTCAGTACTGTACCCTCTTGACCGAAGACGACTCTCTTACCAATATCGTCACAATATCTGCTGAGACTTACACCAGTGATCCCAAAGAATTCTACTTTCCCTAAATCAAGGATAGGCATCGTGGGCATATACTAATTTATTAAAGTAAAGGTGATTTTCTCCTCTGTCAGAAACATTCAAGCTGAATATTTGACCAGCGACTGACCCTTAGCGAAGGATCAATGATGATCCACGTTGATCTTTGCCATCTTTCATGGTGCTAGTGTCCAAATGTATACCGTAATTTTGTGTCACAAATCGTTGCAAGAACCTTTCTGGGTCAGCTTCAAAAAGAGCAAAGTGTTCAAGGACATGTAGCTAGAGGGCATGTTGTTTCTGGGGCTTTTAAGTTCACACTTTATTCAAGGTTACTTTGACAATGGAATGTACTGTCTTCGGAGTTGAATGCTGTACGTGCAGTATGACGGTAATCGAAATATTGCGGTTTTCTCTTTATACTTTTTGCTACTGACGTCTGGCTCTCTCACAGCGGGCTTGTCCCTAAGGCTCACCTTGTCACGTTAAAACTCACATCGTTACGTTGATGTACTGAGGCGATTCTAATTTTGCACTCTTTAGCCTTTTTTCTGCAGGTTCCTCACTCAAGGTGGGCGAGCTGTCTAAGGGGCCGCGCTAGTAAGCGAAAGGTGCCAGATTCTATCCTCACTTGTGACCGGGTGTAGAAACCTTGGAGCTAACATTACTTGCAGGCTCTTTCAGTGTTGTCAAAACTCCTGGTGTACAGTACACAACCCTGTGCACCTAAAAGAACCCACTCATCCGATGGTAGGTGACCAGATGGTGTACACACGAACACGTGCAGACACCTAGTTGTGGGTAAAGTAACGTGCAGTATCACTTGACATAAAACTGTGACTATGTTTCCCAGTTCACCCAGCTGCAAATAGATACCTTGAGATGATGAGGCTTTGTCATAACTCGCTGCGCTTAACAGTCTGCGTGAGTTGAATACTCCACATGGAGCTGAGTTGTTTTTTAAAAGAATGCCAGGGAAATACATCCGTTGATGAAGGGAACACTCCAGCGCCTTGAGCATGTACTATTTACGTGGATATGTGGGCGATATAAAAATCCTATAATAAACTTTCGAGAGCTTACAGAAAACAAAAACAATTTGCTCAGTTGACTCAGGTTGTACTGGATAGACATCTGTTACATGTAATGATTTCTGTGTGAGGTTCACACTTATCAGTCATTCCCTCAGCGAATCGTATCTTATCTGCTTATTCCCTCCACTTATTTGACCCCTCCTATTGACTTTCAGCTTATAAACCTAAAACCGTGAGTTTGAAATTAATGTGCCGATTATTGATTCTGTGTGGTTATTCACAGATTTCACAGTTTAGTTCCGCGTGAAGCGATTTCGGGTTAACTTCAATTTCAAAATCATTTCGTAATTGAGATTGGGACCCCGTCCGAGATTTGAAATAGATTTGCTAAAATTCTACACTTGGGACCAGAATCTGTTGGTGCAGCTGTGTCAGTGTTAATTCAACCTTAGATGCATTACGCCCTGTCAGCAATATTGTGGAATCGGTGTCTGTCATATGGAGGTTAGGCCTTCAGTATGCAAAAAGTGAAATTGAAATTGTGGAATATTTGTTTGAGGGGGACACTTTGAATTATTTAGGTTTGATTTTGCTGACAACTTTTAACTAAAAAAAGCCGAAAATGGAATTTCAAACAAAAATTACATTGAAACAATTTGAAATTCAAAAGAGAAAGAGAACAAGAAAGCGAGAAGAGAGAATTTCAAAGAAGGATAAGAAAGGAAACTTTTGCAAAGCAAAAATAATTCCTCTCTAAGTTTTCAAATTTTGTTCGTACATAAAAATGTCATATCTTCAAAAAAACGTTGTTGACGTTTTCTTCCAATATTTGGAAAAGGTTACAACAAATTTGAAATAGCATTTAATAATCTGACAGCAAAGTGCAGGTCATGTACACCATAATTGGCTGACTAACAAAGTTAGTAATATCACTAATGCCAGCTGTTCTTAGGAATATTGACGGTGTTTTCAGATCAGGTCAGTTGGATTACTGAGGTCACGAAAGGTCAGTTACCTCTGATCAGACAGGTTCGAATCCTGGAAAGTCGAAAGTTTCTGATTTACCGTTGGTCCGAAACAGATTTCATATTTATCGTTGAGTACTAAATGTTGATATTATCCCACAAGTCGGGTCGCGAAAGACATCGGATCACTTGTCTGGATTCACCCTTATCTATACACAGATAACCTGGGGCGGTTGGGTAGCCTAATGGTTAAAGCGTTGGCTCGTCACGCCGAAGACCCGGGTTCGAATCCGTACATGGGCACAATGTGTGAAGCCCATTTCTGGTGTCCCCAGCCGTGATGTTGCTGGAATATTGCTATTGCGTAAATCCAAAACTCAGTCAGTCAGACAGATAACCTTCTAGAAACTGCCCTATGCCTAAACGTCTCCAGTGACCAAGTCTGCTATGGTCGTCTATACAAGGGAGATTACTCTAAGTTACATGAGCTGTCACCCACAACGCTCTACATTTTACACGCACTTCAATTATTTGTTGCTCGTAACAATTACGACAAATAGATGAAAGACGTGCATCATCTGCCACACAGCAGAATGTACCAATCTTGACCACCCGCTGAACTTCAGTCGTTAAGTATGACATTGTTGTACACACGGAGGCTCCTTGGTGACCGTTCTCTCCTACATACCAGCGTATCTGAGGGCTCCCCACTTGTCTCTGTAGGCCAGGCCACACGTGGAATACTGCATACCCCGGGATGGAGTCCACCCAATCATATACCCGTCTACCATTGTTGAATACTTGGAATCTCCAGTAATTTCGAACAACAACAGCTGCAAGGTAAAGGTGTTAGACGTATTTCCTGTGTTACCAAACAGATTTCAAAGCATTCGGTCGATGATTTGTGTAAACGTTTGTGTAAATAAATGGTAGTGTACATGACTGTTATTAGATAGGTTATTGCTACTAAAGATAAAGATAATTTTGAAATGGCCCAGAATATGTGTCCAAACATAAATAATTCATTAAATATTTTTACATATGACTATTCCCATTGACATTATGGTGTCTTTGAACCACACGCCATACTGTTCCTAGGCAGGGAACGTAGCATGTCATAGTGTTAAAGACAGGATTTGCTTCCTTATACATGCCAACTGATAATGCCTACTTACTTCTGTGAGTTTTAACCTCAACTACGGTGTGACATTTACCTGACAAGCCACAAGTTTACTGTCCCACGAGAGAGCCCAGGCCCAGGCTGATGTGACGTAATTCTTGGCGTCGTCCAGGTACTGACTGTCATTGGTCGCCTTGTAGAGCCAGCATGCAGCCACACACATCTCGTCCTCGAAGTGACCAGAGCTATATCATAATAAAAAAACAGAAACTTATTGCCCTTATTTGTCGCTTTGAACAGCCGGCATTCAGTCACACAGAACACAGTGACCAGGCCCAAACAATATACAGGCAACAGAAACGCATCGCTGTCATTTGACAGGCTAGATTGCAGAACTGCAGTGAATTTGCTGATTATGAAAATGTATTGATAGCAGCCTTTGCAAAGTCAAAACAAAGGAAAACGCAGAAACGTAATGTGTGGACGGCGACATTCACAAATCAATTGACATTTGATTGGTTCGTTCAAGAATGCTGTTGAAGATACTCTTGTCACAAGTTAGGTAGACAAGTTTCATTTTCTAAGAGGGACTAATAAGACATTCAACATCGTTAGTCGTCCCAGCAAGACTAAATATCTATCGAATCTAAGGACGTAAATCACATAGCTGGAATGAACAGCTTAAAGGGAAAATGGGTATTGTTAATTAATCTAGAATCCATAATATTCACTCTCGAATTAATTTTCAATATCAGAACGAGTTCATATAATACGTGGTTCCCCAGGCTCTGTTTCAAACACAGATATTATTTCATCTCTGATAATCGATGACATTTCTCATTTGTCGTAGGAAATATTAGACCCGTGCATGAAACTAATTTCCGACCTTATTCCTGCTACGTTGTTGTTATATATAACATGATTCAATAAGAATACAGGCGAAGGGGACAGATTCACAAATAAAGCACTACTGAATTATATTGAATCTAAATCGTTCTATAACTTCTATAAGCCACATAAAATTAATAGGATTGAGTAGTGTATCTCAGTTAATCTCCCAAGGAGGAACTATAAAACAGGTCTAATCACAGGAAGAGGAACAACGTCTTGTTTATAGGACACACCAAACCAGCTAAGGTGTCTCACTATCGTTGTATCCGGAACATTCATCACACTTTTAAGTCTTAACATCAGCGGTGCTGTCAAAAAACTTTTATTACTTATATTTTTGAGTACATGAACTGTTGTATATAAGTTAATCCAAACCAATACCCTGACACAAGTGCATGTTTCTGGAGATTATTAAGGTGATACTTTCAGCAACGGTGTGACACCTACATCCTGCAGTATCCTCTCGCGAGTGAAAATACACAATAGAACAAAAATGGTGAAAATAAGAAAACACTCACGCGTAGTAGTATGTGACTTCCGGCAAACTCTGGGAGTAGATCGAAGGATATTTTTTGCCAAAAGCAAACAGGCTCTTGGCTGCCTTGAGAAGTGTAGCCGAGTAGGCCGGATCTGTAAAGAACAATAAGCTCGCTGTGCACAAAAAACGCAATGCATCTTGGAGCATAGGTGACCCAATTGGTCCTCCAATTACCATGTGACTCGCTCCATATTCGATGTGACTCGCTTCCTGGGGCAAGCTGGCGGAAATCGTAGGTTTGGGGTATTTTTCCACTGAACAAAATATTCATTTCTTTACAACCTCAAACAAACTGTTCAAGCATTTCAGAGGAACTGAATGTAAACATATATGATAACAAACATGCAGTGCCTGCCCCAACCGCGATTAAGCAGAACATTACGAAATAAATGTGTTAACGTAGAGTGCACATACAAAACACTGAAATATTCAGACATACGAACACTGAAAGTAATGAATGCCATAGTGTCAAAAGACAGACTCTTTGCGAAGGAGGATATACAGAGTAGTCTCCCCTATTCTGACTGCGATTCCAGCGAGCATCCGTTGATCACACACGTGAAGACAAACATTCGTTTTGGTACTAATTAGTAAGATTTCTTGTAGCAAAAGATGAATTTTTCAAAACATTTTTTTGTTTGCTCTGGTACATGAAGTGTTTTGATGAGGATTACAAGATTCAAGGAATGTGCAAAGCATAAATCATGTTGAGGCATTTCTAAATTAGATGCAATTATTTACAAATGTGATATCTGATACAAGTTCCTTTTTTTTATGAATATCATGTGATCCAAGTTTTGTTGTATTTGAGCACTGACTCGTCTTTGCATGTGTCATGGGTTGACAAAATAGGTTCGCCTTTTTGCAAACATCCGGTATCATCACGATTTGTCAGTGATTCACACACTTGATTATTATAATGTGAGTGAGTGAGTGAGTTTAGTTTTACGCCGCACTCAGCAATATATCAGCTATATGGCGGTGATTATTATAAAGTTGGAATCGTAAAATAGCAGTATCTCTAATAATTGTAAAATATTATTATATTTCTGCACTTTACACTTTACAAAGGAGTAAAACTTTGACGAATTGCAAGGTGAATTTGTTTCAAGGAATGAGGGCCACGTCAGATATTTTTAATATGTGTTGCAAGTACAATCATGGAATGTTATTTTATCCACTTTTTCAGTTTATTTATGCTCCAGCACTCAACCCAATGCTGTCTATAACCTTAATCTTTCCACAGAGGTTACTCAAGTGATATATTCCCACGTAACCTCTGTTCTAAAACGGCCCTTTCATTGTGCGAGTGTTCGGGATTCGTGATTGGTTGCAATCAGATTTAACTGTGCAATCAGCGACGTTGTTTCAAAAGTAATCATTCGCAAAGCCTCGGTAATTTCCGTATGCTTCGGGAAAAATAGAACCTCTTCCCCAAACGTTTCTTCTAGATAGAATTCAGTCATGTAATGGCCGATCAATGGCGTCTTCATCGCCCTCGTTGACAACGCACAAGCTAGCCATTAAATGTCTTGTGTGTCACATCAACATCATTAATCGGCAGAGGGGGATAGTTGTGGCCCCACTTTCTATTGCTAATTTCTGATTTTCAGTTAAACATGAAATACCGAATCCATCCTTTGCATATTGATCAACTAACTCCATGGCGGCCGCCATATTGGATCTATGTCGATGCAATAGGTGTTCTGATTTGATAAAAAGAAGGGAGATAATTCGTGTTGCGATTTTTTGCCGCCAGGGGATTTTACGAGAACCAGGAAATATGGCCGTATTAGAACAGAGGTTATAATTAAGTGGGAAGATATGACTTGAGTAACCTCGGTGGGAAGAGAATGGTCTATAACAGGCGATGTAAAGTTTTATCACACAATTACCAGTGTCCTGTGTATATAAGTCTATATAATACCTTTGGTTTCGAAGGCAATGGATCCGGCCGCCAGCGATGCGGCTGTTTCCCCGGCTACGTCACTTCCGCCATCAGCAGCCGTGACCTTGAGAGCTGGACGTGCCATTTTCATGTCTTCACAACGGCCCCAATACGAGTGGTCAGCCTTCCCGTCACCAACCTTAGCAGGGTAGATTTGGGAACGTAATAATTCAGTTGTTACTATTCAGTGAAACCAAACAATTCTCGAGAAAGTTTGCACGTGAAAATAAATACCACAACATATCATTGGTCAGTAATATTCAGTTTGGCACCAGGAATTTCAATACGTCGAATACGTCATTACCTGAACATAATACCATTCTTTGTCAGGTCGCCAGCACTTCAGGAAGTAGTCCAATGGCCACTTGATCATGTCGTACATGGCATCCAGCTGGCCGGCGTGCTCGTAGGCGTCCTTCCACCTGTTGAGACCCCACAGCAACAACGTCGACGAAGACGCCATGGGGAAGTTGAACTTGACGTGATCACCAGCTGCCGTGAAGAAATGTACAATCATACAAAAGTTGAAATAAAAGTTCAATACACCATTATACGAACATTATACAAGTATACATCACGTTGCGTGAGGGAATCTGAAATTCCCCGAATTAACAATATAGGAATTATCAGTGAAATGCCTATATGACTTGATGCAAGCAGTTGACTTGTTGCTTGTACATGGTGCGTGAATTAAAATGAGATAAACAGCGCCTTTTCTGTATACCAGGTGTGACTTCGAATTTCTTACGAATTCAAAACAAACCCATACATTGCCCACAAATTACCTAAAATAAACCATTTGGTCTTGAAAGTTAAACGTTGTAACGCTTTCCCTTGGCCAACAATAAAGGTACCGGTGTACACAATAATTAATTCGTATAATACAGTAGAAACACAATAGAATGTAGTGGTAAATAAATCACGTCAGTGATTATAAACTGCAACATCATTTGATTTGTCGCTTAGAATGAAATATAACTAGTTTTATTGGCCTTTCATGGGTTATATGGCCTCATATCTACCTTGAAATTGGGGTACTTAATACATTAATCGCATTTCAGTTAAACTATAAAAATATTTACAATGACAATTTTCTGAGTATGACATTCGTGACACTACAACACTAACGGAAATATGTTGTCATAATAGTGGGATCGGAAATTCTCAGCGCATAGATAGGACGACGAGCGTCCGTGTGTTCTCCCATCTAACTGGCCCTTGCTGACCACTCACCGTCATACCACCCGCCGGTGAGATCTTCTCCGTCGTCGCCCGTGTCGTTCAGGGCGGAGTCACCTCGCCATGGTATCGGGTTGTTGCTGGGGAGGGGACCTGATCTCTGGGCGTCGTAGAACAGGATGGACATATCAAGCACCTCGGTGTAGTTGTAGCGGGCAGGACCAGACACTGGTACAGTCAAGTGAGTTACAGATCATTGCCTTATGTGAATTTTGTTTAGTTTTAGTTTAAATAAATGTTTTGTGATTATCAGCAACAGTAAAATATTGAAATAGTAATAGAATATATCAAATGACCTGGCCGGATTTGAACCTCTGTTGACAAAAACGAGGGGAGCTTTCCATAGGGCCTTTTTGCTCTAATTAGAGTTATGTGCCCCTTGTTGTTCACGCGTACAGGTTACACACCACCAAATGTTTTCCCATAGACTACTATAGTAACCTTATAAAAAAAATTAAAATATCCAGGCTATCAACAACCATTCCATGTACACATGGGTACACTCTGGCCTTTAAACTACCATAAAACAAAATATCAGGCCAGCTTGTCCGGCTCGTTTTGCGAGCACAGGAAGCAGAACACATCAACCCCAGTTCCGCACCGAATATCACCTACTGGAAAATATCTGTACACATAATAAGCATAAGTGATGGTGATAAAAATGACAACACTAAATACTTAAAATTGTGGTCAGTTTTAATTACTGGTTGGATGTGCTTTTAAAAAACAAACATCTTACACTATTTCATCCAATCACAGCTGTCACATGTCTCTGTCTCTCTTCACTTGTTTACATACTGCTCTCGTGCAGGGAGCATGTGATACTGATTTAGTGTAGTGGAACCTACATGCCGGAATAGATCATTCTTGAAGTTGTGGTATCGGACAGTTTCTAGAGGGATAAAGTTGTGTACCTGCTGATGAGTCACATGACCTGATCCATGATAATCTGATGTTTTAGCTATAGAATAGCCTGTTACACAGACCCCGAAACAAATATATCCAATAAACTCCATGCAAGTCTAGAATGTGTGACAAGTCTATATTACCACAGTTCCTGAAAACGAAGAAAGTGTTTGGGTTCGTTTACATTATAATTTATGATTATGATTTTAGAACTGTTTTTTTCTGTAAATCATGAACATTTCAGAGACTACATGTTAGTCTAGCTATAGTCTAACCTTAGCTACAGTCTGACCTATATACAAGCATGGGTTTCCGGAAACCTTGAATCCACTCGTGGATATTGGGTATTAAGTATGTTTGTAGGATATCTAAGGTAATGTATATATGATGATCACACGGACGATCAGGGCATTAACTGATCTGTCTCGCAGTCCCTGAAAGATGAATGTCTCTTCCCTCCATCCTTTTCTGTCATGCGAAAGCTCTAAATGAAGTTTAGATTTTCTTTTAGTTCAGGTGCTCCTTTTCAACATAAAAGGGGTTGTTTTTCGTTTCTATCAAACTTTCTATTTTCAGGTATTGTCTTATTGCCCAGGTGTTCACTTACAAACATATGACGGCAGTGTGCCTGTGGGTGAAGCTCCCGTAGTCCCGGGGTCTGTGTGGGGAGGTATTGTTGCATTGCCCTTATCAGTCATGCCTTCGATGAACACTGTTGCACGGGGTATGACGTCACCTTCAGTGGTGCCTTGGAAGGTCATGCAGAGGTTGTCTCCTGGATGTTCTTCGCCGTTCCAGGGCTTGTTCTGGATGATGAACTCCTTGCCTCCTGGTTTAGCCGACACATCGCCTCTCCATGCCTGGACAATATCAGTTAGTTATGTCCAAGACAAGACAAGAATATTCTACAAGTCCCAAACAGTGTACGTTTAACTATCGGCGAACTATTATATCCATGCCAAAAAGACCTATATTGTAATTTTGTATAGATTATTGTTTTCGACGGTAATATGTTCACATTTCGACCGCCTTTTGTTTTAGGTGGAACGAATCCTGTTCGGTGTATCGTGATACGTGAAAGGACGTGTGTCGCTATAAGAGTATAGTACCGCAAGATAACGTGTCGACACATAAAATAATACCATGTCAAATATGTCTTAGATTTATACGTTTGGACACCCAGAAACTACGAGAATATCAATAACCCATACCAGTGTCAAAACGCCACAAAACCTATCCAGTTTTGTCAGAATCCAAAGTATGCGGGTGACATGTGAAATGGTGCAAATATAAATTGTAAAATACTATTGATAATATGAAAACGGAAATAAGCAAAGTTTTACTATTTGATTCGAATGCACGAATTAAACAAGTTTTATCTGGGCCACTTTTCATTTCCTATGAATGAAAAATTGTTTACCTAGCATCACATGTATCGATTGTGTATCGAAGTATCGATACAATCGAGGTATGCGTCTTATCTCATTGAACAATATCGTCACATTTCTATACGGGGTACCGCACACGAAATACTCATGATAGTCAGCTCGCACCTGCAGATCATTTACTTTTCGGTCAAAGACCATGTGCGCCTTCCATGTCGTGAGTTCCGCTGTGATGCCCACACAAAACTTGCCCTGGAAGCCTCCTGCCCAGTGGGTCGTGATCTCCACGTTGTAGGCCGCCAGGGCCAGGGGAAGGAACAACACGCTGACAAGCCTGGAGAAAGAACAATGACATTTAGGTCCAGATTATACTTTTCTCATGTATGTATGTATAGGTTTTCCCCAGCAAAAACGAAAGTAAATATATGCCAAAAGCCGAAAATGTCTTTGTGGTGGCAGCGATTAGATGGCTCACTCTGTGAGTATATGTTCGAATCCAGATGGCACTCAACTCAACAAAATACCAGAATCTTACTTAACTGAGTGTAAACTCAAATACATCATAAGATGCATTTGACTACTTTCTAAAATGCGTAGTGTATCGCCGAGAATAGGCAAATCAGGCAAACTAAATTGTGTGTTGGACTGCTTTTTTATTTAGTCTCTAATGTCCGTGAAACAGACTAAAGACACAGGGCTTATGTTCAAATCATGTGTGAGTGAGTGAGTGAGTGAGTGAGTGAGTGAGTGAGTGATTGAGTGGGAGTGTTGGTCAATATGTTGTGTTTGCAATCTCATCAAGTGCAAGTGTTTTAATTATACTGAAACCCTCATGATGATGATGATGATAATTCTGCACAATCAAATTGCATACATACATAAATATCCCTCTGCTCTGACACCATTTAAGGACATTCCCAACAGTCTGCAAGACCGAGACATGTGACATGTACAATCACGCCTGGCCTTGTGAACATCTAGTTTTTCTTATCTCAATGTCTCAGTTCAAGATCACAAAACAGGTGAAAGTAGGTATTTATAATATTGTGGCTATTTTCGTAAAATATGTCAACACCGGTTTTGTTCCTGGAATCTATGGATCGTATTAGGGGAGAGTTTATGAATGTCTTCACATATCAGGTTGACTTCCTTTAAAAGAATGCTTATGTTTACATTAGAATGTATATATAACATCAACTGTCATGAGTCCTAAACATTCTTGATCTTTCTTTATTATATAAATTATGTCGTTACGTATTGTTTTATTCATTAATGTCACGATTATTGGGCCTTAAACATAGTTTACGTGGTGAAATCTAACTTTGATTGTGGTTCTCTCGTTACATCCCTTTTGCTTTTATATAGTACTAGGGTTGGGTCTATATACCTATATGTCTTTCTAACGCTGTTTCTCAGCGTGACACGCCCCTGTGTTCTGAAACTACTATTGTTAATTGAATATAAAACACCGGACGTCACATTTGTTTTTGTGACGTCATTTTGCCCACTGCGACGCATCAGACGACACAGAGCAAGGTCGATGTTACCCACACCCTCCCAAAATGAAGTATTTGCTCTCCGCAGATTCAAGCATGCCTTCTTCCAGAAAAGCATTGGGACTACAGCAAATCTGCATTTGCTTTCCTACAATTGTAATATATGTAATACAAATGGCTAACGATCATGATACAAGACTTCTATTCTATAAATATTGCTGAGGTGATGTGGTGCTCATTTCGTCTGTTTATATCAGAGGGGATATATTGTGATTTGAAAACCCCTGACTGACCAATCAGAATGGACTAATTTCCTACTTCATGGTTGACTGTATATTGTGTCGGGTATGCGACAGAACCAGGGTTGGTTACACCAGTGTTTCAGCACCAAACCCGTGACGAACTTCTACATTGGGCATTCTCCACCACCTCCAACACTGAACTGACACATCGTGTTATCATTGAGATGTATCTATGACATCCTTAATCCACACTTGTCAGATATGTTTAAAGTATACTTAAACGTCTCTCAGACTGAAACAATAACTTCAGGAGCGATGATGTAAAACTTTTTAAAGGAGATAGATCAGTTTACTAAATCAAAATAAAAGGCAAAGTTATTAATGCTTAACAACAGAAGGTAAAATAATCTAATGATGAATCAGATTACTAGAGCAAGAAAAACAACCTTACCGCATTGTCAGCTGCTATAAATGACCCGGTACGGACCTATCGTCTCGCATATGTTCACAGTCCCACCTTATCATTAATGTAAAGTTAAGTGCAGACTTACATGCTTGTAGGCGTAAGGGAACCCAGTTGTCTGGGTCGACCGAATGTCCAGGTTCGAAACCTAACAGGGATACAATATACAATGTGTGACGTCCATTTCGTGTGCTCCCCACCTACAACTGCTGGAATATTGCCGAAAGCGGCGTAAAACTATACTCGCTATACTATACCGGCAAGAAGGTATTATACTCGTTATACTATACCGGCAAGAAGGTATTATCTGTGAAATTATCTAGGAATTGGGGCGTTGGTTCAGATCTGCGGCTTTTAGCCGTGTTAGAGACAGACTGGGGTCTGAATATCTGTTTGCCCTTATACAGTACAACCAGAAATTATTGAGAATTTAAGATTGTCATTTTTGTTTTTCACTCATTACTCACGTATTAAATGTGAATATTAGCAGAACATAACTCCAAATTCAAAGACAGGTGAACAGTAAGTATTTTGTCAAGTCACAATGGGCAGCAATGCAGGCTTCAATGCGGCGGCGTATACTACTGATCTAAGAAGTTAGAAAGTCGTGGTCCATGCTGTCCCAATATCGGACCACCTCTTCTTTCATTTCAGCAATATTTGTCAGGTTTTTCTTATTGACACTTTCCTTCATAAGTCCCCAAACATTTTCTATTGGATTTAGGTCAGGGTTATAGCTTGGCCAATCTAATAATGTCATATTTGGGGTCCGAAACCAGGCCTGTGAATGCTTTGAACGATGTTTTGGGTCGTTGCCCTGCTGGAAAATCAAAAAACTTTCCATAGAACACGTGAACAGATGGAAGTAAATGTCCCTCGAGAATATCTGTGTACCACTCACTGTTCATATTCCCTTCAAATACACAGAGGGGCGTTGCCCCTAACACAGATATGCCACCCCACACGTTAAATTTCGGACTGTACTTTGGGCGCTGATACAAAGGTTTTTCAGTTTGTTTGGTCCAGAATTTCAGCGTATTAGGAAACAGCCACACAGAACTTTCATCTGAGAAAATCACACTGTCCCAGTTACAATTTCTATGCTGTAAGCACAAGTTCAACCTTCGCTCCTTTTGTTCAGGTTTCATGATCGGAGATGGAATTCCTCGACTTTCCTGCAAACCCATTGCATGCAGCTCAGCTCTAATTGTCTCCTTACAGACAGTCACAGTTCCTCTATCAATCATATCCAGCCTTAAGTTTTCTAAACTCCTTCGTTTGTTTTTAGAAACAAGAATACCTAGCCGCCTCCTGTCACCGACAGTCAATTTTCTGGGCCTACTTGCGCCTCCCTGGTGCTCAATGCCATATCCATTTGCAACATTTTTCAAAACACGATAAACAGTGGACAAAGGGATGCCTGTTCTACTTGAAATCACTTTAGCTGATCTGATGTCCTTGTTATAATACTCTAAAATCAACTTTCTCTTCTCTAAATTATCCATACTGAGGATCACTGAACATGTCGTCTGCTAGCAAGTAAACAAAGGGGGATAACTCTTCACAAACAAATGAAAAAGGATTAACGGAGGTGTCTCTCTTGAATGAAACCAAGCACTTGATGGCTGGTCAAGATTGTTTATACTAGAAATCCAATTAAACATATTCCTAAAATTCTCAATAATTTCAGGTCATACTATAATGTTTCTAGATTTGTCAATAATGTTATGTGTTTCATGGCTGCTTAGCGTGAAACGAAAATAAAATGCTTATTCGACCGCATTTAATTTGTGTTTGGTATCATATTTGTGTTTTGGACAACGGTTTGCAGTGTTACGCCATTTGTCTCAGAATACTAACTTTTCGATAACGCTGGAAATATTTTAATCAAATCCAAGTTATTACTCCCAACAGTTTATACGAGCTCTCTGAACAAATCATCCCCGATCATCGGTGTAAGTGTAAGAGGAGAGGATGGAGAACGTGTGGTCGATATGAAGGCTAAGATAGTGGATCGTTTTTGATGTTTCAGTATATTCAATCGCCACTTACAGTGGCCAAAATATTTTCATGAAAAATTGAAAGTCCTTGTGAGGCTTACTGCGGTAGTCGCACCAAGTTCTACAAAAACACCAAATAATTTGAAGAAATGCATTGCCCCTGACAAGTCTTCGGCATCCTGTTGAATGTAACATCCTAATTTGATCTGTTGGTTCCGAGACATATCCTACAACTGAACCAACGGGGAAATATTTTCACATCACACCCTCCCGCTTCATTAAATATTGATTATATATTGAACATGCCTTAGTGTTTATCAAAGAAATATTTGTCATTTTTTCTTTAACATTTCTGTAATCAGGCTATATGCTGAATGTTCATTCACGTCAAGGAACTAAATGACGCTTTTGAGAAATATTTACAAAACTTTTAATTAAATCGATGTGTTGTCGTATAATCTACGAAAATCATTCAGATTTCAGAAGAAATGTCATGGAGCACAGTCATCTGTAAACTATGTGTGGTATGTTTGACTTGGTACAGTGTTACTTGATTGGTTGTTATACTGACATGACCTGGTCACACAGCGCACATAGGGCCAGACAGCAGTGTTCCTCAGATTGGTGCTGCTTCGTGAGCCTGATCAGTTGTACGAAGCTGTAAGCAAGTACAGTAAACTCCGTGTATGACGAACTCGCTTATAACGAACTGACGGATATAACGAACTGACGGATGTAACGAACTGATGGATATAACGAACTGACGGATGTAACGAACTGAACGATATAACGAACTGATGGATATAACGAACTGACGGATGTAACGAACTGACGGATATAACGAACTGATGGATATAACGAACTGACGAATATAACGAACTGACGGATGTAACGAACTGACGGATGTAACGAACTGACGGATATAACGGACTGATGGATATAACGAACCGAACGATATAACGAACTGACGGATATAACGACCTGACGGATGTAACGAACTGACGGATATAACGAACTGACGGATGTAACGAACTCACGGATATAACGAACTGACGGATATAACGAACTGAACGATGTAACGAACTGACGGATATAACGAAGAGTCTGTTGTTTTTTTTCCAGACCACTTGCTGTATCTTTCCTGATAATATTATTATGTTTTTCCTGACAATACATATATGGAACTTCGGCTATTACGAACTATAATTAGTGGTCGCTTTGACTTTAAGTAGCTTACTGTACATGCTGCCAAAGCTGCGAGCTAATGTTTGCCTGTGAATGATTTTGCACAGTGTTGATGAAATTACTAAACTGGACCACAAATCCATTTGTTTATTTTCTTTTAAGCTTTGATATTGTATAATATAATGGTTGCAGCAGCTTCCGTTAACCAACATCCTCGTGTTTCAACGTTATCATAACACGTCTAAGTAGCTCAGCGTGTCAAAAAGGTTTGCGATGTGGAGGTGTCTCTAACAGTTTACTCATCTCCCATATGTACGATGTAACGACTTCCATTTTAGAGAACCGTTAATGTAATATTGTTCGAATATTGCTAAAAGCGACGTAAATCTATATTCATTCATTCATATTGTCATTTTGCTAAGCTGGATATATATTATTGTTTGCATTTGTCACAAATATCGTTCTGCATACGTGTACATGTTAAACAACAGAAGCATAATGATCACAACATAAAACAACACAAGGGTAATTGACGAAACGGACAACAGGGCCATTCAGCAGGACTGCTCATCAGCATCCTTGGTAAGCTACCAAACAATGGAGATTGTGACGGAGAGAAGGCTTGCAGAAGACGTACAGCTGGAATATGTTGGAATGGCTGGAAGGGAAGATGGTTCAGGCTCACCCTTCAAGGACCAAACATTACTGGACAAGTGTTAGATAAGGAGGGTAGCGTCTGTGGAAGCCGTACACATAGTTGCCTGAATCTGGAGCCCTGAAACTGTTCTCTGTAACAATACCAGGGGCATGTCGATGTACAGATCAATGACAAAATTGAAAAGAAATTTCTGATCCTCGGCGGGGTGAACGCTGACGCCTTCGGGCACGTTACAGTTGATTGGACTGCTTCTTTCAATGGAAAATAGCATGTATCCAGTTCTGCAATGTCCCATTCCTGAAGAAATATCTTCTGGATGATGGTAATTTCTATACGAATGCTTTAAATTACTGGATGAAACTGCGTGTGTTGGCTTCCTTCAATTGACGAGGTCGAAATCAGCCAATGACAAACAAGAAAACCATTACAAATCATGAACATTGGGGTCTAAAAACTGCATTACCATTACTGAAAGGTTCATTGTTTAATATACAGGACTGATCATCTTTGGCGTACACGGTGACACAGATGGCTACAGACACGACCCCAGATTTAGTGTCACATCGACATACACAGAGGCGGTAACAGACGGGATTACAAACACGACCCAAAACACTGTTGCAGACATGTTTACAGACACGACTGCAGATACCGTGGCATAGACGACAGAAGACACGACTGCAGATACGGTGGCATAGACGGCTACAGACACGACTGCAGATACGGTGGCATAGACGGCTACAGACACGACTGCAGATACGGTGGCATAGACGGCTACAGACACGACTGCAGATACGGTGGCATAGACGGCTACAGACACGACTGCAGATACGGTGGCACTCACGGCTACAGACACGACCGCAGATACGGTGGCATAGACGGCTACAGACACGACTGCAGATACGGTGTAATAGACGACTACAGACACGACTGCAGATACGGTGACACTCACGGCTACAGAAACGACCGCAGATACGGTGGCATAGACGGCTACAGACCCGACTGTAGACACCGTGACACAGACGGCTACAGACACGACAGCAGATACGGTGGCATAGACGGCTACAGACACGACCGCAGATACGGTGGCATAGACGGCTACAGACACGACCGCGGCTACAGACCCGGTAACAAACACGGCGACATACATGACTACAGACACGGTAACAGACACGACCCCAGATATACGGTAACACACGGAGACAGACACGATGTTC